TTGAGTGGTGAGGAAAAACAGATTTTTAGTTCTCCTGAAGAAATGTTTTCACTACCGTGATGCAAGGATGTTGCTAGGGGTTTCAGTGTGATTGCAGGGTGATTGTTGGGTGGTCCTGTGTGGTTTCTAGGGTATACCTGGTGGTTGTTAGGATCTAAATGGAGGTTGCCTGGGCATTTTGGGGGTGTTTAGGACATTCTAGGTCATTACTGGGTGGTTCTGTGAGGTTGCTAGGATTTATCTGGTGGTTGCTAGGAGTTCTAGGGGTTGTTAGGTGATTCTGAGTGGTTGCTGAGTGGTGATGCATGGTTGCTAGGGTCTACATGGTGGTTGTTTGTGGTTCTGAGTGGTTGCTAGGGTCTAAATGATAGTTGCTAAGGCATTATGGGGGTTGTTAGGACATTCTAGGTCATTACTGGGTGGTTCTCTGTGGTTTCTAGTGTCTGTCTGGTGGTTGCTGGATGGTGCTGTGTGGTTTCTAAGGTGTACATAGTGGATGCTAGTGGTTTCTAAGTGGTTATTGGGTTGTTCTTTGTGGTTGTGAAGGTCTAAATGTGTGGTGTCTGTGTGTCCCCTGGAGTTCTAGGGGTTGCTAGGTGGTTCTGAGTGGTTGCTAGTTGGTACTGTGCACTTGCTAGGGTGTACATGGTGGTTGCTAGTAGTTCTGGGTGGTTTCTAGGTGATACTGTGCAGTTGCTAGGGTGTACATGGTTGTTGCTAGTGGTTCTGGGTGGTTTCTAATTGGTTGGTGGGCTGTTCTGTGTGGTTGTCATGGTCTAAATGGTAGTTGCTATGGGGTTGCAGGGGCATTCTGGGGGTTCCTAGGACATTCTAGGTGTTTGCTGGGTTTGTTCTGTGGTTGCTAGAGATTATAAGGTGTTGTTAGGACATTGCGAAGTCCAATCCGGGGAGTTAGTAAGAGATTGTAAAGTGACTGCTATGACATTCTGGGTAGTTAGGATGATGTTGCTAGGTGGCTGGTAGGACATTCTGAGTGGTTGCTAGGGTATTTGGTGTGATTACTAGGTGGTACCTGTGGGTTCGGGCTGGTTGCTAGGGACTACATTGTGGTTGCTAAGGTATTCTGGTGGTTGCGAAGACATTCTAGGTGACTGGTGGGTGGTTCTACTTGGTGGTTGCTAGAAATTCTGGGAGGTTGCTAGGGTGTTCTGCATTGCTGCTACAACATTAAGGTGGTTGCTTAGTGGTTTGTCTGGCAAACACCAACAATGAAACATAGATGCAGAACAAAATGAAGGGAATTCAAATGCGATACATTTTTATCAGTGTTTCGATTTAGCTAATTATTCTGAAAGAACATCTTTCAATAATGAATATTTGTTTTTATGAGCATGGTTGATTTAGCTAATTATAAAAGAGCAGTGCGAGACAAAATGAACAGAAGGTATTCAATACTCTCATCTAATTGCATGAAATGTGTCTCCTCCAGCTCAAAATCACGACCATACATTTCAAAGCTTAACAGGACAAATAAATCTTATGGCTGAAAAAAGATTTAATGATTGCTTTATAGCTAGCATTAAACTGGACACAACGCTAATGTCACAGAGCAGATGAAAAGTGGGACAGAGTGATGAATAATCTTTAAATGAAGAGAGAAAGGAAGAGAGAGTCTGACAGAAGCCTAAAATGAAAGGAGGTGAAACTCGTCCTCTGACACCTTCATGAATAGTGAAGCAGGAGTAAAGGACGATAGGATGTGCTCTCCGCATCCGTCATGGTTTCCAGTTGCTTTAGAGATGCACCTTGTTCAATATTAGCTTACACGGTCCACAATTACAGCGTTAGCCATGGACTTCAAAGCCGTTTCACTGCTTTCATACTGTTGCTTTGAGATATACACACTACCTGAATTCAGTTCAGTTTAATTACAGTATTTCCTTAGGTCTTGTTGAAGATTATTTTAACCTTTTTCCAGGCTTTTGGTAGAGCACTTTTTGAATTATGATATGCTTTTGAAAACAGTTTTGTACTTAACTCAACAATTAAACGGATAGACAACCAAAAAATAAAATTCTGTCATCATTTACTCACCCTCATGTTGTTCCAAGTTGAGTGAATCATCCCTTTAAAGCTTTTCAACCAGTTTTTTACAATTACAATTATTATGACGATATGGTATTGACAGGATATTGAAATTCTGTCTAATACAGCCAAGGTAATAATAATTATAATTATTTTCATGGTCGATAGCTGATGCATGCTGATATTAAAAATTACAAAGTATTTTGTCTAAATAAATCAAACAAAATACTTAAAACTAGTATTTTTATTATAATGTACAATATGATAATATATTATAATGTACAATATGAACATTAGATATTCATTTTGAGATTTCTTGAAGATTACATAGAACAGTGTTATTAAATCACAGGTGGTTTTAAAAAGTAACTTTAAAGTAAGGGTATTTTTCACTAAATTTAATACAATAACAGATGATAACCTGATAAAGTGAATGGATACATTTATTCGGCAAGGATGCATTAAATTGATCAAAAGTGACAGTAAAGACACTTACAATGTTACAAAAGATTTCTATCCCAAATAAACGCTGCTCTTTTGAACGTTTTATTCACAAAGGAATCCTGAAAATGTATCACCGTTTTCACGAAATAGTAAGCATTGATAATACCAAATGTTTCTTGATCAGCAAACCAGCATATTAGAATGATTTCTGAAGGATCATGTGACACTGAAGACTGGAGAAATGATGCTGAACATTCAGCTTTGATCACAGAATAAACCACATTTTAAAATATATCCAAATAGAAATAATATTTATAATAATATTTTGTGAAATAATAATATTTCTTAATATTAACACACAACTTATTCTCATTAAAAGACAAAGATAGCAGTAGATAAAATCCGTTAGGTGTAAAAAAAACTTTTCATTTCTATGTGAATGATAGAATTCAGTTAGAATGAAATTTTTTTCTTTCCATTAATGGGCATCTCAACCATTTAGTGGAGGCTTATATTACAAGGTTTGAAATGTTTCCTGTAATGTTTTACATTGTATTGCTGAGAAAAGTGTGTTTTGTCTGTGGTAAAGTTTCATGGTAAAGTGCTTTATAACCCAACAACAAATAGCCTCAATTTCGAGCCAGTATCTCTGAGAGTAGCTGAAAATAAAACATGGTGAAGAAACTACAAACCCAGAGGGTTTCAGCTGAAATGAGGTGGGTTTATAACCATTTTGCCTTTTGGGTTTCTCAAATAATCAGTCACTGGAAGAGAGTGACATTTACAGGGCACTTACGTCCTCTTTTAGATGGCCCATAAATACCAAGAGTGAGAATGATGGGGAAAAAGCAAGTGTCCTCACTAGTGCCTTACTGAGGGCTGAATTAACTCTATAATGGAAGAACAGAGCGTCAATACAATGAGCGATACTAAATATCTCAGATCACCAAAACAAATGTGGTACAAATGGATTTACCCATTCAAATACAACAAAAATGAATCCATCATCAGCGGCTTCTACCCTGGGCTACAGGTGTCAAACAATTCAGAGCTCAAAGCATTCTGAAAAACAGACACACATAAAGGGCGCGAGAAGTCCTGACGGGTCTCCAGAGGTCTGACTTACTGGTGGATGGCTTGAAGAAACTTGCGTTGATGTTTCCTGACTTTGGCGTGGTCCATCTTCCTCACCAGCTTGGTGTTTTTATAAATGAGCCACGTCTCCCTGAGAACATTAGCAGCTGTGTTTTTCACCTGTGGGAGAGTTAGCATTGTAGCATTCAGTGCTTAGGTCTGCTGAAGCGTCCTGAGCCCCAATGATTTAACGTGGCTTACTTGGTTTGCATAATAATTTGTAGGCCCTGTCCACACAAACGCAGTTATTTTTAAAACCGCAGCTTTTTCTATGCGGTTTGGCCGTTTGTCCACACGCAAACGCAGCACCAGTTCACTGAAACGAACAGTTTTGAAAACGCCTGCCAGGGTGAAGATTTTCAAAAACTCCGGTTCTTGCAGTGTTATCGTGTAGACAGTGAAACCGGAGATTTTGGCTTGTGACGTCAGAGCCCGCGCTATCTCCGCCTACTGGAAACTTTTTCAGGCTTCTGATTGGCCAACATGGCTTTACGGTTGAGATTATATCGCCACCTGTTGGTTTGGCATGCTCTTGACAGTGCTTCATAGCATGCGTTTGCACTTTCATGTGAACAGAGATTTTTTTTTTAAATGGAAGGTGTTCACATACCCGAGTACGTGTGGACATGGCCTTAGAATAGCGACCTTGGGATATGTACTGAAATAATTAGCTTGCTAATTATTGCTAAAATATGTGACGATTCAAGTCGGTTGAGATGTTAAACGAATCACGATACAATTGGGGGTGGGGGTTTATATGAATGCATCTCGGAGGTATTTTCTGTTCATCATGCCTCTGTTTAATGCATATTAAAGTAGTGTTCATAAGCGCAGCGCTGCTTTGGAAACTCTGTATCGCTACTGTTCCATAAGCACCACCAGGCTGCTGAAAATTGAGCAGACACTGTCGCACTGTATAGAGTTTGGTGTTAGCATGTTGCAGAGCATTAGCATTAAGCCTCTGTTAGCGTAATTGGCTAATCTTAAAAGAATATACTTCGTTTATGTGACAAAGCTTATCTGGCTAACCAAGTAAGCCATGCTTGAAGAACGAAAGCTAGAACATCTAGCCTATTTTTTTTACAAGTCCAGCCTATTTCTCACATTTCTGTCAGGCCAACGTCGTAACTGTTTTTAACTTTATTTTATGTAATCTTCCTCTCAAAAAGCTGAATTTTGTGTATTTGGGTTTCAAAATAATGTTTTGGAAGCAGGGTGTCCCGTTAATAAATTCACACATTTTGTTTATATTTAATAGATGCACATTATTTTCCACTTTGCATAAGCTGGGTATTATTTTCACAGGTTTGCAGAGATTAAAAACAAAATGTGACATACGACGCCACAAGACTCATTTGATTTAGGAGTTCAGACTTACCCTTTTTGTCAGCTGGGTGTCCATCATAAAGTTATGTACATGTTTTTCGGCTTTGGTTAATTCCAGTTTTTTTGCGACCACAGCGACCACCAAAGCAGTGCATCCTGCACCCTGACAAAACAAACAACTGCCTTAAGCTTTCAGTCTAAAACAAACCCTACGTTACGCTAAGATACGGCACTTACCATAATGCCGGTGAGGAGACAGACTCCTTTCCCACAGTATGTATTGGGGACCATATCCCCATATCCAATGGTTAGAAAAGTTATTGAGATCAACCACATGGCTCCAAGGAAATTGCTGGTTACATCCATGTTGTCATGGTATCTAGTAAGGATAAAATGACATTAGAAAAACAACTACAATTACTTTACACTCATCTATGGCTTAATTGAAAGTCAATCAATCAGCAATGAAAATTGTGCTAATTTGTCTCACATTATACATTTAAGTAGTGCTCGCTCTACTGCAGTATTTGGACGTGCTGTTGTTGCTGTAAGCTATTACTTAATTGGCTAATTGAGGGATCTAGCTGAGTTGGGACACAATTGACTCAGTTTCCAAACCTATTTAACTGCTGTTTAAAAGGTTACGCAGCTCACAGAGGCTCTCCAGGTCTGCAACGGGAGAGATTTGATACTCTATAGGGTTTAACAGGTTGAGAGAAAGGCACAGTGTCTTTTTTTCCGAAAGGATGCATTTTTGATACTTAGAGCTCAGTTTCTAGAAAGTGGGAATATTTTACTTCTATACAATTGTATATAATTGAAAATACATATATACAATATCTAATTGTATGCTGTAACGATGCCGCACCCCCAACAATAGGAATTGTGTCGATCTTATTTTCTAAATTAAATCACCTAGTAAAGTGTGAATTACCACAAAATAAATGTATGAATTTAAATTTGTATAATCAAAATAATCTTAAAATATATAAAAATATTATTTATAATAAAATATTATTTATAACATAATATATTTTAAAATGTATCTCTACATTTAAAAAAAAAACTAACTCACCTAGTAACTGTAAGTTACCAAAACACGATTACATGATAACTGTATAATGTAAAAAATATATAAAATATAATATAATATATTCTAAAATGTATATATACATTTTCTAAAATACTCACCTAGTAACTGTGAGTTACCATGAATTTATGACAAGTGTATAATTAAAGAATATATAATATAATATAATATAAACTCTTATATATATGTATATACATATACACTTATATATACATATATATATATGTGTGTGTGACCCTGGACCATAAAACCAGTCATTAGGGTCAATTTTTTAAAATTGAGATTTATAAATCATACATCATCAATAAATAAGCTTTCCATTGATGTATGATTTGTTAGGACAATATTTGGCTGAGATACAACTATTTGAAAATCTGGAATCTGAGGGTGCAAAAAAATCTAAATATTGAGAAAATCGCCTTTAAAGTTGTCCAAAAATGTATAAAAAATTAAGTTTTTATATATTTACAGTAGGAAATTTACCAAATATCTTCATGAAACATGATCTTTACTTGATATCCTAATGATTTTTGGCATAAAAGAAAAATCAGTAATTTTGACCCATACAATGTATTTTTGTCTACTGCTCCAAATATACCCCAGCGACTTAAGACTGGTTTTGTGGTCCAGGGTCACATACACACAGGTTTATAACCATTTTGCCTTTTGGGTTTCTCAAATAATCAGTCACTGGAAGAGAGTGACATTTACAGGGCACTTACGTCCTCTTTTAGATGGCCCATAAATACCAAGAGTGAGAATGATGGGGAAAAAGCAAGTGTCCTCACTAGTGCCTTACTGAGGGCTGAATTAACTCTATAATGGAAGAACAGAGCGTCAATACAATGAGCGATACTAAATATCTCAGATCACCAAAACAAATGTGGTACAAATGGATTTACCCATTCAAATACAACAAAAATGAATCCATCATCAGCGGCTTCTACCCTGGGCTACAGGTGTCAAACAATTCAGAGCTCAAAGCATTCTGAAAAACAGACACACATAAAGGGCGCGAGAAGTCCTGACGGGTCTCCAGAGGTCTGACTTACTGGTGGATGGCTTGAAGAAACTTGCGTTGATGTTTCCTGACTTTGGCGTGGTCCATCTTCCTCACCAGCTTGGTGTTTTTATAAATGAGCCACGTCTCCCTGAGAACATTAGCAGCTGTGTTTTTCACCTGTGGGAGAGTTAGCATTGTAGCATTCAGTGCTTAGGTCTGCTGAAGCGTCCTGAGCCCCAATGATTTAACGTGGCTTACTTGGTTTGCATAATAATTTGTAGGCCCTGTCCACACAAACGCAGTTATTTTTAAAACCGCAGCTTTTTCTATGCGGTTTGGCCGTTTGTCCACACGCAAACGCAGCACCAGTTCACTGAAACGAACAGTTTTGAAAACGCCTGCCAGGGTGAAGATTTTCAAAAACTCCGGTTCTTGCAGTGTTATCGTGTAGACAGTGAAACCGGAGATTTTGGCTTGTGACGTCAGAGCCCGCGCTATCTCCGCCTACTGGAAACTTTTTCAGGCTTCTGATTGGCCAACATGGCTTTACGGTTGAGATTATATCGCCACCTGTTGGTTTGGCATGCTCTTGACAGTGCTTCATAGCATGCGTTTGCGTTTTCATGTGAACAGAGATTTTTTTTTTAAATGGAAGGTGTTCACATACCCGTGTACGTGTGGACATGGCCTTAGAATAGCGACCTTGGGATCTGTACTGAAATAATTAGCTTGCTAATTATTGCTAAAATATGTGACGATTCAAGTCGGTTGAGATGTTAAACGAATCACGATACAATTGGGGTGGGGATTTATATGAATGCATCTCGGAGGTATTTTCTGTTCATCATGCCTCTGTTTAATGCATATTAAAGTAGTGTTCATAAGCGCAGCGCTGCTTTGGAAACTCTGTATCGCTACTGTTCCATAAGCACCACCAGGCTGCTGAAAATTGAGCAGACACTGTCGCACTGTATAGAGTTTGGTGTTAGCATGTTGCAGAGCATTAGCATTAAGCCTCTGTTAGCGTAATTGGCTAATCTTAAAAGAATATACTTCGTTTATGTGACAAAGCTTATCTGGCTAACCAAGTAAGCCATGCTTGAAGAACGAAAGCTAGAACATCTAGCCTATTTTTTTTACAAGTCCAGCCTATTTCTCACATTTCTGTCAGGCCAACGTCGTAACTGTTTTTAACTTTATTATATGTAATCTTCCTCTCAAAAAGCTGAATTTTGTGTATTTGGGTTTCAAAGTAATGTTTTGGAAGCAGGGTGTCCCGTTAATAAATTCACACATTTTGTTTATATTTAATAGATGCACATTATTTTCCACTTTGCATAAGCTGGGTATTATTTTCACAGGTTTGCAGAGATTAAAAACAAAATGTGACATACGACGCCACAAGACTCATTTGATTTAGGAGTTCAGACTTACCCTTTTTGTCAGCTGGGTGTCCATCATAAAGTTATGTACATGTTTTTCGGCTTTGGTTAATTCCAGTTTTTTTGCGACCACAGCGACCACCAAAGCAGTGCATCCTGCACCCTGACAAAACAAACAACTGCCTTAAGCTTTCAGTCTAAAACAAACCCTACGTTACGCTAAGATACGGCACTTACCATAATGCCGGTGAGGAGACAGACTCCTTTCCCACAGTATGTATTGGGGACCATATCCCCATATCCAATGGTTAGAAAAGTTATTGAGATCAACCACATGGCTCCAAGGAAATTGCTGGTTACATCCATGTTGTCATGGTATCTAGTAAGGATAAAATGACATTAGAAAAACAACTACAATTACTTTACACTCATCTATGGCTTAATTGAAAGTCAATCAATCAGCAATGAAAATTGTGCTAATTTGTCTCACATTATACATTTAAGTAGTGCTCGCTCCACTGCAGTAGTTGGACGTGCTGTTGTTGCTGTAAGCTATTACTTAATTGGCTAATTGAGGGATCTAGCTGAGTTGGGACACAATTGACTCGCTTTCCAAACCTATTTAACTGCTGTTTAAAAGGTTACGCAGCTCACAGAGGCTCTCCAGGTCTACAACGTGAGAGATTTGATACCCTAGAGCAGTGTTTCCCAACCTTTCTTTAGTCGCGGCACCCTTTGGAAATTTTAACAAATTTGTGGCACCCTACAAAATGTATTTTGTCACAATATTTGAATTTCTAACTTCGATATGATACTTTGAAAAGTATAGATATTCGGTACAGCAGGGAAGAACTGCAGAATATAATGTCATACAGATATTTTTAATATTATTAAAAAAATGTGTCCATCAATGGTGGCAATCAGTAGGCTAATTTCTAATGAAAAGACCTATTTATATGACAGATTTTAATGTAGGCTTTTATTCATGTAAACATTGTGAGATAGCTAGTTATAATGTTAATTAAACAAAGTTTTGCTCACTCAGTGTATTTTTGATTTTACAGTTGGGTAATTTTGTTTAAGTAGCACGAGATAGCTTGATTTAAAACTTTGAATTGAATAAAAAATGACAAG